AAAACTCAGTTTTAGCTCATTATTGAACAAATTTATGTGAAATGTATTGATGATGGATTTGGACGTCATCAGTTTTTACTTTTCTAAATTCTTATTGAGGTTTCTGGAAAATGTTAAAACTACAACAAAAACTTTTGTCGTGAAATAATCTGCCAGTGGAACAGGAAGTTTTTCCAGCCAATATTAAAGAATTATTTTCTTATAATGAGACTTTGTGTTTTTGCATTTTGAGGTTGGATTATGCAGGAATCTCTATTGACTCAGTAATTGACCTTCAGAAGTCAGTTGGTTGCACTGGATTTTATTTAAGGGTGAAAAGGTAAAGGGGGTCTGAATAGAAATGCAGGCCACTCCTGTTGGAGTTTTATTTTTTGTGCAACTTTGTGTAGCTAATTCACATAAATCTTAATATAGTGGAGACCTGGGGCTTTGAATTTCCGTGCTCTTCTGTAATTTTGAAAGAATATCTGGGTGATTAAACCAAACAGATGCTGACCAATCTTATTCTGATTTATTAGCAAATAAATAAATCATTTTATTTATTTATTCTGATTTATTTATTAGCAAATAAATCTGAATAAGATTCTGATTTATCTGTTGAGTGTTTTCTACACTTCAGTTCAGATTTAAATCATTTCAAAACCAAATCATTTAATTATATCCTAGTGTAGATAGAATAACACATTTTCATCTTACAAGAGAAGTGAAAGTTAAAGCTGGAATGATCAACGTTTCTCTTTGAAGTTACATTTTTATTCAGTGATAAAAGGCAATATACAAATGCAGATGTAAAAATACAAAGTTTCTTCCAATCCCGACTCCCAGCTCGCAGGTTTCTGAGAAACGGCAGGAAGGAAAGCAGCAGAAAGTGTCTGGAAGCTCTGAGAGGATCAGCAGAGTTTTGCTTCAACTCAACACTTTTTTTTTTTTTTACATAAGTTATGATTTATTTACTTTCGGGGGAAAAGCAGATGAGGTGACAGAACGACTGCAGCTGAATGCATTTAATTACAGCATATTTACTGAGAAAAATCCACTTCAGCTAAACCTAATCCCTGCTCAGTAATCCTCTTACAGCGTGTAAATGACTTTGTGATCATGTTGGATCAGGTGAGCCACAACAAACAGGTGAGAACCTGAAAGACTCAACGTCTGCACACTCAGCTCTGATTGGCTGTGGATTTGCTTACATCACATTGTTTTGGTTCAGTTGGAGATTTTACAAAAAGCAGCCATAAAGACAGAGGATGCACTAAAATGTTCAGTGCATCAAAATAATGATAAAATATTCAGTTTTGTTTCTAAAAGCCTCTTAAAATGTTTTACCGACACATCCAACGTTCCCAAACACCAGCTTACTAACATTTCTTATTATTAATATTCCAACTATAACAAAGGTCTGTTCCAGAAACAAACTGGTAAACTTTATAAGTAGACGTGCAATAATAGATTGAACGCTATTGAAGGCAATATTCTGCCGAATTTTAGCGTCAGCAGAACGTATTTATGGTTGATTTATAATCTAACAGTATTTTAAAACAGATTAAATGGGACCATGAAACTTCAGTGGCTGGAAACTGGAAACTTTACTCTCAACCTGCAGCAGTAAAGTTGTGCCTCTCCAGTCTTTACTGGGATGAGAGACAACAGCTTATTGGGAACAAAGAGCTGATTGGGTCACATGATTGGAGGAAGTCAAAGCAAAAGGAAATGAAAGAAAATCAATGAGTGAACGTCTGAACGTCTGACACTAAACCAAAGCACAATGACCCGACCAGGTCCTGTCGCGGTTCTGCTCACACAGCGTCGGATTTTCAATAAGAATTCATCCCTTCAAAGGATGTTTGCATCCAGAATCCACTGTCAGCAGAAGGAAGCTGATCCTCTGGGTTCTCATGTTTCTCCTGAAGTTCTCAGCGAAGCGCCGTGAGAAAACACAGCTGACATGTTTTGCATGTCCACATGCACAGACGTCTGACTGGTGTGAAGTCTGCTGGATGACTGAAGGCGGCGTCGTTCATGCCGAGTCCTCTCAAAGGGCAGCAATGTCAGCCTGACTCCTGTGAATCTGAAGCTGTCCGTTTGTGTTTATTAGTTTCATCATCGGACGTTCAGAGCCGACGTTCTGCTCACCGGTCCTGCAGGGACTCCTGGAAGGGAGTTGTTTATATTCTTTCAACAGAAAAGTGATTTCTTTTTAAGTTCCTCTGTTCCAGCCTTTCTTTTTTTCTGCCTTCCTGAACGCTCTACATTTTTTGTTCTCAGCTTTTCAAAGCTTCAATCGGAATAAAACAGTCAGCTGTACAAATTTGCAGGATGAAACATATTCATATGTGCTTAAATATCTGTAGTTCATCCATTTTGTATACCAATGGTAGCAACAGAACATGATACCTCTACTGTATCATGTTCTTAGTTTCACAGACTTTGTGGTTTCTTGGTTGTGAAAGATAAAAATAATTGATCAAACATCTGAGCAGAAGTGTGTCTGCCCTTTCAGATGGAGACGAGGAAGCGCCTGGCGAAGATCGTGTTGGTCTTCGTGGGCCTGTTCGCCTTGTGCTGGTTCCCCAACCACGTGCTCTACATGTACCGCTCCTTCCACTACCACCAGATGGACCTGTCGCTGGCCCACCTCGTCATCACGTTGGTGGCCAGAGTCCTCAGCTTCTCCTCCTCCTGCGTCAACCCGTTCGCCCTCTACCTGCTCAGTGAGAGCTTCCGGCGGCACTTCAACAGGTCAGAGGCATGGCGGCATCCCACAGCAGCTTCAGACGGGACCTGTTACCTAGCATCATTTGTACAATGGCTGCTGGAGAAGACGAGTGTTTTGTTGTTGATTTGCCATCGAGAAGCCAGCTGCTCTGTTCTTGTTGGTTGTGCAGGAGGCTACACTTCTGCTTTTCAAAGGTTGTAAACACCGAGTTGGGGGCGTGGTCAGCAGGAGCTTAATTGGATTTAAAGTGACAGACGCCCTAAAACAGTTCATTCTGAACGAAGTTCACAAGACGCAGAACTGAACAAACAGAAAACTTCCGATCCAAGAATGATTTTAAAAAAATGCAATGATCATGTTTCATAGAACTAATAGATCGATCCTACCGTGTTCAAGACATGGCTGAACATTTCCTGTTCTGTCGCATCCTCAAAGCTGCTGAGTTGGACTCAGACCTGGGTACCTTGTCATGTCCAATTACCCAGAGTGAGACGACTTGAGTTTTGAGATCTGGTGCAAAACCCAGACATTTATCTAAATTTAAAAAAAGGAAACTTAGGAAGGTTATTAGGTTTAATTGGACATCACTTTGCACTATGGGATGCAAAGTGTGCCAACAAACCCGACACCATTACATCACCACCTGCCCGTTCTCTGACACATTTCAGGTTGTTCATAAATGTCAGTAGATCTTCAGCTTCTGAAATCCGTTAAACTTAAACACCCTTTCTTCCACGTTTTAATGCCTAATTTGAATTTCAGCAGCTTCTTCACCATTCGAAGACCTAAATCTGTGATTGGATGGGAAAGCGCCTGATGATTGTATTTCAGACCCTTTTTTTCCTCAGGATCAATATTTGAAGTCTCTAATCAAAGTTCTGCTCCACATGCATTCAGATTGATTCAAGCGTTTGATTTAGAAGGGAAGTTATGTTTCGTCGGTCGCCATCCAGAGCAACGCTGCTGAAAGCATGTTGCATTAGCTCAGTGTGGTTTTCTACCTTCATATTGTAAATCTGTCCAACATGTTGGCAGCAGCAGGTGAAAACAGCCTCAGCTGCTGTCCTGAATGCTCTCCATCCAAGTTAAATCGTAATTTTCAGACTAATCAAAAGTTTTCGGAAGGCTGAATATTTGTGAAATTGGGAGCTTTCAGGTGCAGATGCAGGCGAGGACCAGAAGGCCGGTGCCTCATTTTTCTTAGTGAATCGACTCCCTCTCATGGGAAATGAAGTAATCATGGCCCAGTCTTTTTCTAAAGCTTCCTTTAGTGTTCCCGCTAACACCAGACATCCTGACAGTTATTATTCCATTCCTGCCGTGAAACTGTTGCTGAAAGCACCAGGACCTGAGGACAGGCGTTATGTTTTAGATACAGAACATCACAGAAAATTAAGATGAACCTTAAACACAAGCAGAACAAAGATCAGACTCTATACCTGAGAATTTATGTATCATTCAAGTCTTTTAAATATTTGTTTGCATTAATAAATATCCTTCATCCTCTGGAGAAAAAATGGAATGTAAAAATTCACCCCAAACTCAAAGCTGTGTTCTTCCAATATGTCTAAAAGCATTCATGCAAAATCAACAAGTAGGAATTTAAAACATTTTTTAATTCACTCTAAAACGTCAGAGGTGAAACTGTGTCTGGACGCCTGGTTTACCGGCTGTTGTTCTTCCTCCTCTTGCAGTCAGCTGCGTTGTGGTCGAGGACCCCGTCCCGAACGCCAGCCCAGCTACATGCACAGCACCTCTCACATCCACCTCACCTCCATCAAGAAGACCACGCCCACCGCCGTCATTGTGGCTCCGGCAGCAAACGGGAACTCCTGCACTCAGGAAGTGGCTCTGTGAAGTTTCCAGGATCCTCTGCAGAGACGATAATCCTGTGTGAGAGAGAGTCTGGGGAAGAAACCCAGAAAAAAACTGCTGACATGGTCCACCAATTGGATGATTCACAGCATCAGGATAAATCATGACCATCAAAAACAACCAAAACAAGAAGTGCCTCTTTGAAACAAAAAAGAGCAGAAATACCTTGAGAATGTGCTACAGCTCTCCACAGAACAGCAGCGACCAACTGAGGCTGTAGAAACAGGCATCAACACATCCAGTCAAGCTTTGAAGACGGTTTGTCTGAACTTTTGTCTGGCAAAAAGTGCATGCGACCACTGCATGTCTGTGAATGCAGTGGTTCAAAGACATCCAAAGGCTTTGGGTCGAGCAGATGAACCTGGAAATATCTGCAAACTCCTGTCATCTTTGGAGATATGAAGCTCAACGGGAAGCTTTACAATGTAAAACTGAAAAATGAAACTGCAGGTGGCTCTGCCATGAACAGTCACTGTTCTACAGGTAGAAATAACAGGTGATGCTCTGGGAATGAAGTCAGTACCATGAGAGTTTAGTCATGTATACTAACAGGCCTTTCCCTTCCTTTAATGTCCAGAAATTACTCACATTTCAGGTGAAATATTGTAAAACAGTGAAGATAAATTGATCTTTTACTGAACGTCCCTCACAGGGAAAACCAGACTTACAATTAGAGATTGGAAAACATCTCAAATTAACAACATACTGTTTTAACAAAATCACGTTTGCATCACTGGCTGTCACCACAAACTCCTCCAATAAAATTAAATGAGTGAAACATTTTTATCCACAGCTGCTTAAAGTTGATCAAGTGTCTCAGAGCTTCTAGTTACAAATCTACAAATTTCTGTTTCTTTGAGGTACAAACATGAGGCGACAGAGAAACCCAAATCCCCATCAAGCAAAACGGAAAAGGCTTCATAAACATGCCATTCAATTAAAAGCTTTGTGTGGCATCTCGTCACCATGCAGAAGGAGGATGGAGGTACAGCAGGTAGAAATGCTGGAGTCACAGTGTCTCCCTAGCAGCCATCAGATGCCAAAAAGAAACAAAAAAAGCTTATTTCATCCTACCATCACAAACGTACTCATTGTGATGGCACACTGTTATTCCACTGGGACCTTAACTGCAAATGTTGCTTTTCTGGCGTCAGACTAAGAGTTTTTGGTAAAGGATGAATTACTTCATGTCTCCTGAGTAAGGTAGAGGACCCGTAATGCTGTGGGACGCCAGGACATCAACACTAAGGTGAAATGATTTACTCCAGTGGCAAAAAGGAGAGGTGCAAACTGTTAACAACAATAATTGATGATTCTGTTTAAAAGTTATTTCTTCTTGTTTCCACAATTACAAGCAGAATTTTGAGAAAAAAATATATTTTAATGGTTTATATTCATAGTTACTAACAGATGGTCAACATTCAATTATTGAGAAAAAAAATCTTCATGATGCCACAATTATCAGAACATATTGATGATGTTTGAGGTGGAGGTTTAAATGACTGAATGATTTTGAGATCAAAATGATCAATATGTGGGTTTGATAAGAACACATTAGTTTCCATAAAACCAGCAAACATCGTTAGTGACTGTTGATCCGTTGGTAGAAAAGCCTCTGAAGGTTCAGGAAGAGATGATTTGGAATTAATTAACCGAAAGTGAGCTCAACACAATCCCCGTTTTCCCTCTGCTGCCTGTAATTAGTGTCTAATTGCATTACGGGAATGAATTTTTATTAAAGAGCTGTGAAGTAAACGGTTTCAGGAATCAGTCAAACTGCGTTTAATTAAATGGATTGATTTACTTCCAGGAGTCAAGTTTGAGTTTTCAGCTAATCCTGCTGCTAATATGTATTTCCATCTGGCTGCTGTGGGTTGTGTGGTTCCTGTCCCAGCATGCCCTGCTTCCTGTGGGGCTTTAGAGACGCAGACACACAGAGAGGAAAGTGATGCCTTATGGAGAGATTCCTGCTGATTGCATGGACTAACAGCCCAGTGATCATCATCATCATCATCGCTTTGTGTTGGTGCTTCAGCCTCAACTCAGAGGTGATGATCTGTGCTTTATTTTGAGAAAAATCTCCACAATTTGCTCTTCTTTAAGCCGTGTTCTGATATTTTTCCTTCTTTCAAATGCTTGATGTGTTTTTGTTTTATGTATTTGGCATGCTTCTTGTTTTTCTGCTTTGCTCTGTAATAAATGTTTCTGTGCAGGAACCGTTTGGTCTCTGCTTGATGGAAATCGTTGAATAAAGGTTCAGTCTGTGTGAGTGCTGGTTGTTACTTCCAGTAATGCTGGTGGAGCTGAAAGAACAAAAATTAGCCCAAAAGCCCAAACACTTTGTTCTGATCAAAAGCAGAAAAATATTATTTTAACTCTGATTTTTACCAGCAGTTCAGGTAGTAAAAGTCAAAGCATCTCAAATCAAACCAGTCGGGGCTGAAAAGTCAATGCAGCTGGATTTTACGTTTTGGTTCTTAGTGGCTTGACAGCTTATTGATTTGCTGTTTGAGCTTCTGAGTTTCTCTGCATATTATCGGAGGATGAATAGATCGCACATCCCTCTGACTGCCACAGGCTTACCTAAAGAGAAGGCAGCAGGCTTATGATTCTGATTTATGACTGAGAAATGCATGTAGGACTTTCAGATTTGTTGCCATTTCTGAACTTTGCAAAAGTTTTGAATCCTGTGAATTAATGAGACAAATTCAAAGCTAAAATCCTCAACTCTTGGTTTAATCTGGTTGTTTCTTATGCATCAGATCTCTGCAGAAATAATCTTAGGGATCCAAAAGAGTTTCTGTCCATCCTCTCCTTAGTCCACAACTGAAGACAAATCCACCATCTTCAAGTTGAATCTCAGATATTGTCCTGCAAACTCCTCTGGTGCAACAAACCAAACCAGCTGCAAAAGTCAAACATAAGAACGCCGAGGTTCCCAGAGCTGAACGCCGTCCTCTCCTCAAACACCTCCGGGTCACGATGAACTGAGACTACAGCTGCAGACCAGCCAGAACCGGAGATGAGTTCATACAAATAATCCAAACATCCTTTGTTGTCCAGAACAATATCATCTAAAGTAACTCATTTAAATTGAAGCTGATTCAGCAGCTTTTCCTCCTAAACATCTCATTAGGTTAAAAATGTTCTGCTGTATCAAACCGTTAACTTCTTCTACTCTCTGGCCTTGAGATCTGCTCTGTTCACTTTTGGCACGGAGAAGAAACTTCTTTGTCCACTGTGGTCCTGGTTGCTGCGCAGTCAAAGGTATGGCTTGAATAACAATGACATCACAGCCTGGTTGCTGCATTGATGGATATATCTGCCATAGAGGGGTTAATAACACATCACCTCTGTACTCAGCTGAATTTAAAATGCAGAACCTGAAAGACTCTTAACATTTTCTCATTCAGTGCCGTCTACGTGACGTTGGTGTGAGATTTATCCAGCTGTGATGAAACTTCTGTTCTATTTCCATTGAGTTTAAGGTGAATGTTGTTACAGCATCAGTTCAAGCTGAACAGTCCCAACATCAGGAAGTCGTCAATAACAGAAGAACTATTGAAGCTTCTGTCGTTGCATTGATGGTTATCAAACATTGATGGTTTATTTCCCACTGAGTCAGAAGAGGTGATGAAAGCGACGCTATGACATCAGAATATTACAGAACAATTTGACACATATATATATTTTCTACAACTGAGCAGAAAGCAGCTGCCATCTGTGGTTTTAGTTAGTTATGTTTCATCCAAACAGAAAGATTTTAAAACTGTCAGAACCTGAGAAACGACAAACACGACATGGATGATGGACAGAGGAACCGGCTCTGACACGGGATCCTGATTGTTTACGCATGATTCATATTCATGTTGCCTGAGAACTTGAGAGGTTTGGAAAACAGTCTGTCTACAAATAAGTGCAGATTTGCTTCCTGAGTGTGTTGGAGGGTTTTGGGAACTTTTGCTGCAGCCTCGTCTGTTTGGTTTGGTCTGAAACCAAACTGGAGGAGGGATGCATGCTCAGTGGGAAGGAAGCATCTATCAATGCATTTTGCTAAAAATATATATATTTATATATATAAAATATAATATAGTTTTAGGACTTTATCTTATTACATGCAAGTGGGTATTAATATTTTATATTATCTTCGATGAGTTGAAGTCACTTCAACAAAAAAAAGAGACAAGAACTCAAATTTGATCATTTATTTCTTAACATTTCCACTCAGTGAACATGTTTATGTTAGTCACCAAAACTTCACAAGCTTCTGAAACTTCTTACAGAAATTATTTTCTTTTAAAAAACGGCCAGGAAATAACAACCCAGGCACAAACTGTAATGAAGTGAAATGAAGGGGTAGTTCAAAGTAATCAAGCATCGGCGTGGAGAGATGAAAAGTGGCATCAATGAGGGGTGAAGAGAAGATGATTACAGTAATTAAGACAAGCAATTATAAAGATAAAAACAGAAGAAAAAAAAAACAGAGCAGAGCAGACGCATCTATTTAGGAGAGCAGATCTCCTCCAGTTGAACCAGTGAGGGGCGGCTGATGCTGCTGCACATCGTTCTCAATGTCGGTCCATCTGGACCCTGAGAGCCTGTAAAACAATACGGCGCCATCTGATGGACTGAAGCTCCACAGAAGGAGATAAATCCACATTTAATCCTTGAGATTATTTCATTTCTAACAGTGAAAACAACAGAATAAAGAATCATCTTTTCTCTGGTGACAAATAGATAAACCCAGACATGCAGATGGCTGCAGAGACCGAAACAACAAATATCTGGCATTAAATGTTTAGTTTCATGAACACAAACAATGTGCTGTGAGGAGAAAAAAATATAACTTTATATTCCAGAAGAAAAACAAACATTACTGATTTCTGTCAAGGGCGATTCATTCACTCTGGTTCCAGTTTCCAAATACAGAAATAAAGAAAAAACCTGCATCAGTTTCTAAAACAAACTTTAACCTTAGAAAGGTTAAAAAAACCAAAGATAAAGCCAAAGTACAAAAGCAGAAGGTAAAAATGTTACAACATTCTCACTGCGTCAAAAGTCAAATGTGACTCAAAGATACAACTTTCAAAAATCCTGGTTGAGATTTTTATCTTGGGTTTGTATTTCTGATCATTTGTTGTCTGTTTGGTTTTAGTTATCAACTGTTTTTGTTTCTGTCTTTCTTTAGATCAGTTCTTAGTCCTTGTGTGTTTGGATTTGGTCACTTTGTGGTTCCTTTCAGTTGATTTTTTGTGTGTTCCGTCTGTCACTCGGTTCGTTTTCTCCTCCCTGTTGTGTTATTTCTCTTCCTCTCCCTCAGCCTGCCTTCAGCTCACAGCTGCACCCGGTTTCTGATCCACTCTTTGGTCTTCAGGCTCCCAGGATTTAACATCTTCTCCAACTTCTCCAAGGTTTTGGGTCCAAATAGATAATTAAAACCTGGCAAATACTTCACTAATAAATCTCAGTTTTAAGGTTTTATTCCTTTACAGCTTCTCGACACTCATACATATATTTCTATGTTCTAATTAAAATTACACTATTTATGAGACTCTGATGATTTTTATGTGACTCTGGGCTTCAGTCATGATTTCTGAGTTTTCCTGATCATTTTCCTTCAGAACAGGCAGTTTGGGTTTATTAAGCTTTGGGAACGGATCTCAGAATGTTCTGATCTCAGTTCTGCTGGTCATTACAGGTTCTACTAACTGACCCATAAAGTGGTCAAATGTCCAGCTGGTCTGACGCCAGGATCCTGTTGATGCTTCTGATCAGGCTCCAAATTGCTCCCTCTCTCTATTTGACCTCTCATTTCTCAACTCTGTGACCTCTTTGACCTCTCCAAACAGGAAATGATTGTTTAGTAAAGCTAACCCTCCGTCTCCTGGAATGAACCCATCATGCTTCAGAGGCATCACTTTGCAACATAAATCATGTCTGAAATGAATCCAGTCATTCTGTCTGCAGTTTCCATCCCAGAGACGATTTTATGTTGGTTTTTATTCCTGCTGTGTCAAAACGACGGGATGAAATAAAAAACGTTTTTATCTGAGGAAACATTGAGCGTCATGATGAAACTTTACAAACCAAATTAAAGCTGCTGTAATCACTTTAAAGAGGAGCAACTGTTACCTCCAACCACCTCGAAACCTCTGATTTATATATTGATTGATTGATCAATAAGTCAATACATTTGATTAGCAACACCTGGATGCTACTTTCAACTGGTAACAACCAGCACTTACATGGACTAAACCTTTATTTATTTCAGGAGAAATGTGTGGATGTTAGATTGAAATAAATTCAGGATTAGAGAAGAAACAGTTTGTTTTTTTAAACTCGAGAATTGAAAGTTTATTTAAAGCATCTTTGAGTCGACAGCCGTTGGAAATGAGCTGAATTTGGACTTTTCCAAAATTTGTAAGACCAAATTTAGGATTTATAAGGTCCTGAGTTTGGATCTAACAAATTTAGAGTCATTTTCTCCTTGAATCATTTACAAAAAGTTTCTTCTAGACACTAAAGAAAATTTTTTTCACTTCCATCAAAGATCATTTTGCAAAGTGTTTCATGGCAAGATTTTTAAAACCCCCAAAACTTCAGATGAATTAAGTTTCGTGAACTTTGGAGCTTTTCTCAATCTTATAAAGTTCACTGAAAAAACTAATTAAAAACATTTTATCTTTATGTTGGTGGATGGTATCTTGGATATGTTGTGTAAATATTTATGTTATTTAAATTGTGCTGAAAAAGCCTCAACATGAGCACATAAATAAAACCTTTTCGCCTCAAACAGGGACAAGATTTTAGTGTGAAGTGCTCCATAAATATCCACAAATAACCAATCAAATGTATTGATGGAGACCCAGAGGGGGCCGGTGGTTGGCTGGGGGTCTGAGTGATCAGATATTGTCTCTTTTAGAGCTCAGAGCCATTTGATCAATACGATAATCTATCAATGAGGTAAAAACCTTCATGCGTAAAATAAGCTCCTCCTGATCAGCACTGGTGAACAGCTGGATGCTGGATTGATCTGAAATTGATCAAGATGATGGGATTAATCTGAAATAGACGGGTTAGAGTTACAGCTGCTCAGTTAAGATTCTCAAGATTTTAATTCAGAAAATGTGAGTTTATCAGATCAACCAGACTTAACATAGCTTACAAAACTATAGATTAAATTACACTGAGGTTGTATTATATTAAGATCTGCATTAAACAGTTTAAATAATAACCTAGAAGTACAGAAGAATCTATTCACAGTTCAGT